TTGACGAAAGGGGTTTCTTCACACTCCCTATAGGCTCTTGTGTCGACTCTTCATTTGCTGTTCCAGGCCGTGCATTGAAACTTTTGAAACTTGTCTGTGTATTTCTTACTGGGTTGACAGAAGGGGTTTCTATATGCTCCCCTGGCTCTTGCGTCGGTTCTTCATTTAATGTTGCGGTCTGTGCATTTGTCTGATTTTCTTCTGGAAATTGTTCTGGCAACATCTGCAACAAAAACAATAATAAAATATTATTTTCAATTTATTTCAATTGCTAATAATAATAATAATTAATAAATAAAATATTATTTTCAATTGATTTTTCTTTTCCAGGTACCACAAAGTGAGAACGAGTGGAACAAAATTATAAATGGATTTGAAACTTGCTGGAATTTTCCCAAATGCATAGGAGCAATTGACGGTAGACATGTTTTGGTCCAGTGCCCTGCTAATTCCGGTTCACAGTACTTTAACTACAAAGGCACGTTTAGCATTGTACTGCTGGCAATGGTGGATCATAATTATAATTTTACTTTTATTGATATTGGGAGTTATGGCAGCATTTCAGATGGCGGAATATTTGCTAAGTCCTCTCTTCAAAAAGCGCTTGAGGGAAATTTATTGCATCAACCTGACGGATCCGTTATATTAGGAGATGAAGCATTTCCACTTAAAACATATTTAATGAAGCCCTATCCCCGACGAAACCAATTAACTATTGCACAGAAAGTCTTCAATTATAGACACTGTAGAGCGAGACGTGTAGTAGAAAACGCTTTTGGAATCATGTCATCTCGTTTTCGTGTATTCAGATCCCCAATATCACTTGCTCCTCAAACAGTAGTGAAACTAATAAAAGCTGCATGTGCCTTGCACAACTGGATACGAAAAGTGGGAAATGATGTAGTAACAGCAGATATTGAGGAACATGCAACAGGTCGAATAATTCCTGGATCTTGGCGCAATGATCCTAGACCAAATGGTGTCGTTGATGTAAGAGCAGCTTTGCAGCGTAACTATTTGCCAGAAGCTCGACAAAGAAGAGAAGACTTTGCTGACTATTTTACAGGGACAGGAGCACTCGATTGGCAGTACAAAATGATAGAATAACAATCGAGAGAAGACACCGAAATAAATAATTTGACTACACTTCTTTCAATATTTATATAATTTAGGATGTAAATAATTGCGAAACATTAAATAAAACTTACCAAATTAGATTCTGAGTCATTTTCTTCCAAATTGTGCCTTAGAAAACTATCAGCTACGGAGAACCATATAAGTTTTGGTTTATATACGTAATTAGCACCCGTTCCAGTTCCCATAGACTTCTTTATTTTTGCCACTTCTTGATTATATGTACATCTAATGCTCCTAATTTTCTGCCTAAGTTCTTTAATTGTAGAAAGTCCTGATAAGGGCAGCAGAGTTTCTTCTGCATGATCCCTCTTCACTCTATTTTTGAAATCTGCCGAGCTTTTCTTCCATAAACATGGAAACCTCTCATATTCTTCCAGAAAATGTATAACGTCAAATCCCTGCTTAATTTTATCAAAATAATTTCCGATATTTTGATTTTTCGCCATCGTGCCGCTATAAAAAATCACTACTTTCACGAAAGTATTCCCAACTATCTAGTCAAGCGAGATAGTGCGACAGCACTGTCGCGACAGCATGATAGCTACTATCGGGTTGTTTACATGGTGATAGTTTGTGCGATAGTTACTATCACGACAGCAACTATCGCAAAAACTATCACCGTGAAAACGACCCTTATGAATCAGGTACATAATAGAAATATCAGATACAACACTTTGACTATGCCGTACCATTCAACAGCTCTATTTTTTCGAAACTATACATTTAATATTGTATCCTTATACAGTGTGTCCATTTAAATTCGCAGCATATAGGAAACTTATTCATTATTAATTTAATGGAAAAAAGTTATTCTTCATAAAAGTTTCTGCTTCTTGAAAAAATAATATTAAACTAGTAAAACTTGAAATATCATGTACAGGGTGGTCAGAAAATAGAAAAATATACAAGGTGTTTCCTAAGTACGGTTCGTAATTTCAGGATGTGATCTCTTAAAATATTTTAAGTTAAATAGTTCCCATAAACAAATATTCGGAAATGCGTAATTTCTGAGATACAGGGTGTCTATGATCTTTATTAAATCATGGATAAACGCGTACGCGAATATCTGATTCAGTTAGTTCTTTGAGTGATGCAATCTTTGTGATTGATCATTCTATGCGTATGTTTGACCACATTTCGCATTTTTATAGAAATTTAGGCTAGTTAAGGATGGACGAGAGCAGAATTCTTCATTTTTCTACTTTTCTAAATGTTTTTTTTAAAGGTTTGTTTTTCTACCTAGTAACACTGTTCCTTGTGACAGTAAATTTGACAGGTGACAGCTCATTTCTGTTCATTATATCTTGCCATTTCATTATGAAAAGACTTACGCCAGAGCAACGCTTGCAAATTGTACAAATTTACTTCGAAAATCGTAATTCATTTCGCGAAACTCCGCTATGTGCGTTACGTCCATTTTACGGTCGACCTAATAGTCCATCCCAGCAAGTTATTCGGACAAACATGGCTCGTTTTTGCACTACGCATACTCTGATTCATAATCCAGAAAAACTGTTTGGTGTGCTTGTTGGGTTAGTGGAATCATTGGTCCATATTTCTTTAAAAATGATGGCAGCCAGAAGGCGATAGTCAATGGAGAGCGGTATCGATTCTTGATTACTGACTTTCTTGTTCCCCAGTTGAATGGCGTTAGTGTGGAAGAGTTCTGGTTCCAACAAGATGGTGCAACATGCCACACAGCGCGTGACACAATCAACTTATTTCAGGAAACATTCGATGACCGTATAATTTCGCGCAATGAACTTGTGAATTGGCCTCCACGGAGGTGTGATCTCACACCTATGGATTCAATTCTGTGGAGATATGTGAAGTCGCTAGTCTACGGTAATAAACCAACAACGTGGAATCGGCTGGAAGCCAACATTTGCCGTGTTATTGCCGATTAATGTTCCCAGATATTCGAAAAAGTGGTCCAAAAGTGGACTCCCAGACTGAGCTTCGTTCGAGCTAGTCGCGGCGCTCATATGCCCCAAATCATTTTTAAGCACTAATGGCATGAAATTAACTTTCTAATAAAGTCAATATCATGGCCGTTTACATGATTTTTATGAGTTTTATTCCAGTTCAAAGTTCTATACCTCTAAAAAAAACACCCTTTATTAAAAAAAATAAATAACCCCTGCTCACCTAGCTCCATAAAATAATTTTTAATATTTCGTCATAGCATACATACTGTTGATGTATGAAACAGAATAAAATTGACTATGCCGCATCATACCACTGTAATTTTTCAGCGATCGTTCTCATACAATTCCGTTTAACAATTTAATATACTACCTTGTCATATTCTTAGCTTAAGCTCACAATATTTATTTGTATTTGTATTTCAGGTGTTTTTTATGTTTTTTAATTATGTGTTTGGATTATGGACTTTAAATGAATGTAAAAACCCTTCTTGTTTCAAATAAAAGTCAATATTTATTTAATTATATGTATATAAAATTAATTATTAAATAGGTATGACTCGCGCTGTGAGCTTACCGCAATTGTAATAGGTATCTTATTTGCTCCCTTATTAAAAGCTTGAGAATTAATGTTTCAAAGAGTTGATGATATTTAGTTGTAGGTAAATAACTCATTTTGTTCCGTGCATACTAGTTTTATTCACCTACTTCAATTTTGAATAAAATTCCTATTGGAAATATAGCAAAGGAGCATTGTGGTAAGAATCTCCCCTATTTGAATTAAAATATTTATATTAATCGTATTTGTAACTTTGTAGAATAGTGGTGGCCGCGAGGAGTCAAATCAAGTGAAATAAACCGACAATATATCACCTAGGCATTACTGTTGGCTATACCCCAATGCGTTTCCTGAGTTAACATGTGAATACTGACAAGGAGTTGGTACGAACTTTCCGATTTCATTGAGATTTCTGTGGATTATTGAATGCATATTCCTGGCATTTACTGTACTGATTTCCCATCAACTCATAAGAACTCAGTATACTTACCTAATGAGATTTTTGCGGTATAATTTTTTCAGGATTAACCATATTACCGTAAGCGCTCGGTTATTATTTAATAAAAAAATTACATCATTACAGAAAACTTTGTCTTTTTTGGTGTATATCCAAACCCCGGCCCCTTCCCGACTTATATATTAATTTTTGAAATTTTTATCCCACCTATATTTAATCTAACTAACTCATCTTTTTTTTAGGTTTATGATTAATGAACATCTAGAGGATGACATTAAAAATGAAATAGAAGTATCAGATATTCAATTGATAGATCCAAATAAAGGAATATTTATAAAGGAGGAATATTCGAGAGATGCCAATTCATCAGGACCAGATGTTTTCAAAAAATTCCAATGCTACGTTTGCAATGCTTTATTTAAAACTAAATCATATTTAAAATCTCATATAGTGATACACTTCGATAATCTTCCTTTTGAATGTGACACTTGCAAAGCAAAATTCAAACGTAAAAATCAATTGAAGAATCACAAAGTAACACATTTGGATATTTATCCTTTCGAATGTGAAACTTGCAAAGCAAAATTTAAACAAAAAAACATTTTCAGGAAACACCAATTAATACATTCAGATATTTATCCTTTTGAATGTGACACTTGCAAAGCCAAATTCAAACGAAAAGGCGATTTGAAAATGCACAAACTAACACATTTGGATATTTATTCTTTCGAATGTGACACTTGCAAAGCAAAATTTAAACGAAAACAGTATCTGGAGAGTCACAAACTAAAACATTCGGATGTTTATTCTTTCGAATGTAAAACTTGCAAAGCAAAATTTAAACAAAAACAGTATCTGGAGAATCACAAACTAAAACATTCGGATGTTTATTCTTTCGAATGTAAAACTTGCAAAGCAAAATTTAAACGAAAAGGCGAGTTGAAAAATCACAAACTGATACACTCGGATATTTATGCTTTCGAATGTGAAACTTGCAAAACAAAATTTAAAAAAAAAATTCTTTTAAAGAATCATCAATTAATACATTCAGATATTTATGCTTTTGAATGTGATATTTGCAATGCAAAGTTTAAGCAAAAAGCATATTTGATAAATCACAAACGAAGACATTCTGATATTTATTCCTTTGAATGTGACATTTGCAAGGCAAAATTTAAACGAAAACCCGATTTGAAGATTCACAAACTAAAACATTTGGATAATCATCCTTTTGAATGTGACACTTGCAAAGCAAAATTTAAACGAAAAGTCGATTTGAAAAGACACCTATTAAAAAAAAAAAAGTGTGTAGTTTGCACCTAGTAGAAGTGAAACCTTCATCGAACTGCATGCATTACACACATGCTTACATACATAGTGGCATCCCCCCCTCCAAAAGACTTGAAAAAGAACGCAAAAAAGTGTCGCTTTTTCGTTTCAACGAGTCTCAAAGCACTCCCAACGATTCTAAAGAAGTTTTCACTTCAATATAATATGCAATGTCTAAGTTAATATTTGTGGTAATTTAATACATTATTGAATGACGCATTTAGGTAAATAATTGTAAGTTTGAATTCAATGTTTTTTCTGTAAAACTTGAACGTGAAACAATTTTGAATGTTTATTCAGCATCCACAATGGCTTGATTAATATTTCAACAATAATTTTAATGCGTTTTATATTTTGCGCGTTGAAAATGTAGATATTTTTTTAAGTTCTTATTATTTTAGATTAAGCAGTTTATTGTACTATTTGTAGCGTTAAGTTTTGTAATGTGGTGATTGTATAAATAAATAATTACATAGTAATGCATAAAATTCACTCACAATTCATGTATTTGGTTTTTGGGAAAACTCTCGAAGATGTCGATAGAAAGAAAGAAAAATAACTATTTTCTAATTTTGACATTTAAAGTGACACTTTGCAAAACTTGTTGAAGTTATCAAATGTCTTACTTTTCATTACCAGTTGCGAAAAGTAAAATTTCACAATTAGTTAGGGATTCCATACGTCCGAATTCACACGGACATGTATGGGTTTTTAGGATATCCGTGGAAGTCCGGTTAGAATTCAGAACAATATCCGGAAAACTCGGGGATCGTGAAAACAACCCAACTTTGTTAAATATTTTAATTTTTACGGTACTACATTTCTACCCATACTTACAAAATTTTTCTTAAGTGCTGAAAATATGTGAATTTTTCTTTGCTATAACTGCACATAACGCAAATGTTGAGCGAATATTTTCTTCAATTGCGGCCCAAATGACAAAAGATCCGAATAAGTGTCTACTCTTGAGTCTATAGCAGGTTAATAATAACCATGTTTAATTTTCATATGACCTGTTCTGGCTGTTCTGAGTTCTATGATTTTATCATGTCACCAGAAAAATTTTCTGTTCAGAAATCACAAAAATATCACTTAAACATTTAGTTATTTTTATAGATTTATGTTTTATGATGTAATCATGTTATCGCAATATTAAGTAATAATGTATCTGTTATTTTCTGTAAAAATGTATTTTTGCAAAAAATAAACAGAATCTTTTATAATTTAAAATATTTTTGGCCGGATTTCTTGACTTCTGTATCCTGAATTCCAGTTGAAAAAATACATAAATAAAATTTTTGATAATATTAAGGCTAAACTACTTGAAGTATGTTATCAAAAATATAATATATAATCTACATATAATGAAGATTTCATTGTTCACACCATAAACTAAATTTGATATACCGTAAAACCCTATAATATTGAACACTTTTTAGTTTTTGTCGTTTGCAGATTCTTAACAACAGGCTATAGAGAAATAATATTGTAGGCATATTAGGCAAACTTTAATAATAATATAACATAACTATAGTTTGTATAAATAATGTTAAATTAGGTTAGGTAATCGATACAACTTTTTAATATATTGCAAAGTGAAACAAAGGAAAAAAAAATAATAATAACTATAAAAACATTCAGCACAGGCATGCATATAAAATATAAACATGTGTAAGTAGTTCAGGAGGAAAACAATTCATTATATTCTACAATATATGTCCTAACAAACATAGAAAAATATTTTGCATTTGCATTCTTAGAATGACAAGGCAAAATGTTATAAACTTTTGGTCCCAAGTTGTTAATTGATTTCTTCTCGAACTCACTATAATATCTAGGAACAAACAAACATTTATTCGAGTATTATAGATATGAACTGTATGATGTTTAATTTTTTCAAGAGTATGCATATAACAATAAACTGTATGATAGAATAATGTTCTTATATTCAAAATGTTGTTATTTTAGAAGAGATGAGAAGGATATAAAATATTTTTTCTAAATATATTTTTTAATATTAAATTCTAAACAGTTTGTATATTGTTTCAAGAAGTTGTTATACATACTTTCCCATATTATATACGCTTTGATTTTGAGCATATTTCATCTGACAGTATAAATTTTAAAATCATAAATTTTTCCAGGACCAACCAACTTAGTGAAGCTAAGTTGACATTTCATTTAATAAAGAAAATACCATCATTTCAAAAACTTCTGATGTACCTACATCCGAACCTCCCTTCTCGACCTATGTAATAATTTTTTGAATTTTTCATGCCACTTAATTTAAAAATTCAACTAACTGACGTTTTTTTTTTTTCAGGTTTATAATTAATGAATATCTAAAAGATGACATTAAAAATGGAATAGAAGTATTAGATATTCAATTGATAGATCCAAATAAAGGAATATTTATGAAGGAAGAGAAATATTTAAGTGATGCCAATTCATCAAGACCAGATGTTCTCAGAAAATTCCAATGTTACATTTGCAATGTTTTATTTAAAACTAAATCAATTTTAAAACATCACTTAGTAATACACTTCGATATTTTTCCTTTTGAATGTGACACGTGTAAAGCAAAATTTAAACGCGAAGCTAATTTGAAAAAACACAAATTATTACATTCGAATATTTATCCTTTTGAATGTGACACTTGTAAAGAAAAATTTAAACAAAAAAGCACTTTGACAGATCACAAACTAACACATTTGAATATTTATAGTTTTGAATGTGACACTTGCAAAATAAAATTTAAAAGAAAAAGCTATTTGAAGAGTCATCAACTAACACATTCGAATGTTTATACTTTTGAATGTGACATTTGCAAAGCAAAATTTAAACAAAAATCCGGTTTGACGCATCACGAACTAACACATTCGGATATTTATTCTTTTGAATGTGACACGTGTAAAGCAAAATTTAAACGAAAAGCTAATTTGAGAAGACACAAATTATCACATTCTGTACGCTCCAGGAGACTCTAATTCTCTGGATAGTATTTTCTGCTTGATCCCGATGGTTTAGGATAGAAGAGCAGAAGGGCCTTAGTACCAGACAGGACTTAAAGTCACGGCACTTGCACTAGGGCGTAAGATAGGTAACTTACAACCAGACTAGAGCACTTGTTGTAAGTTGGAAAAAAAAGGACCCAAGCCAGACAAAGCACTTGCTATAAGGTTTAAATTAAACCTGTAACCAGACAAAGCACTTGCTACAGATTTAGAGAAGGGCCTAATGTAACCAGACAGAGCACCTGCTACAATAAGGCTAAAGAAAAGTAATTGTTAGAGCGCAGTCTCACGACTCTACTAGCGTTGCTAGGCCAATGGTGACTTGGGCACAATTTAAGTAAGAGAAACAACAATAAGTTTGAATCTGATTTTATTAATGAAATTGATCACCTTTTATATACAATAAATGCTGATTTTGCACACATCGATTGTCGTCATTTCCAATAATAAAAGTAGGTTGCTTATAATTAATTAATTCTAATATGTACAGTATGGTAAAAATATTAAGATTAAATGTTCCAATTTGGATAAATGGACATTCTGCCGCCTCTCAATTTGTCGACTTCAGGGACTGTAGTTCATACTCTTCAGGTTTGTTGGTGGTCTTTTTCTCTCTTGTTCGAAGTCTTAGATATTTGATGCCTATCCAGACACCCAAAACTACCAGGATTGTTGCAATGGTAGTTGTCACTCCAACTATGCTAGAATGATGTCGTATATCTCTCCATATATGATTTTGAAGTTCAATCTGAATTGACTTCTCTTCTGTCATTAGTGAGGTTAAATCATCTGAATGCCCAATTACTGACTCAGATGCTGGCCGAAGTTGTGAATGTTGAATATGTGTGGGTTCGTCGTGTCTATCGAGTGAGACAGCTTTGGAATAGCTGGTTAAACTGCTATGCTCCACTCGTATTGCTGTTAGTGTTAGCTGTTTGGTTTCTATAATACAATCGGGAGCCAAGCTGAGAATTCCTGTTGCAATAATGTCAACATCTTCCCGGACTCCACCACAAATAATAGCTATATTGGCTGATCCATTAGTAATAAATAACCATGTATTTGGCGTGGCCATTTGTTTCCATATAGTAGCCTGCACTGAATTTGTGAAAGTTTTGCATTTCTTGGCTTCAGGCTTATGGTATATTTCATCAATAATACAGTTGCCGTCGTTATTTATGTTTCTTATAACATCTGGAGAACAGAGAAACATGTGATGTTTTAATTTCAAGCATCGTTCGAATTCTTCTTTATGGAGTTGAAAGTAAAGCTGAGAGTTATAATCGATCGCGATATAATCGTTCGATATATCTAATGTCCAGTAAGAGTTGTTGGATATTCGTACTGGAATTGGGGTTGCTTTTATAACATCAAACTGTGATATTTCTATTATGGGAAAATAGCCAAAAACTTGGAAGTGGCTGCTATTCTGACATAGGGACATTTTTATCAAAGGCGTAGATAATGCTTTTAAGTTGTTCGGTAATTTTCTGTTGATATCCGTTATCAGAGTATGAAGATACGTTGGAGATATGATGTCGTAGATTGTTCCCCTGTTAAACTGGATATTTATCATATTCTCGTAGTATGAACTTATTTCTGCAATGTAGT